ACACACACACAGGCTTACTGCCAAAAAGTCTGACAAATCAATAAGAAAAAGACAACTCAATATAAAAATGAGCAAAAGATATGATCAAGTGCTTCATTTAAAAAGGAGATCCAAATGGCCAGTAAACATCTGTGAAGGTGCTCAGCATTATCAAGCATAAGGGAAATGCAAAGTCCAGTGAAATTCACTACACCAGAACAGCCAAAAGTAAAAAACAAGAATGGGAACTCTGGTGGCCTGAGGCATTTGACTGCTAACCAGAAGGCTGGCAGTTCAAACCCACCAGCCACCCTGCAGAAGGAAGACTGGGCAATCTACTTCCATAAAGATTAACCACCTTGGAAACCCAAAGGGGGTCACTGTGAGTCAGAATCAACTTGATGACAGTGAGTTTGTTTTTTTTTTAAAAAAAGACAAGTGCATGTATAAAGGGCCCAGTTATGAAGCCTTCCTAGATATATGCAAACAACTCATGTTGTTGTTGTTGCTGTTTGGTGCTGCGTTAGACTGGGTTCTCTAGAGAAACAAATATCAGTAAAGCTTAGAGAGAGAGAAAAAAAAATTATCTTAGGAAAATGGCTCACACACTTATAGAAGCTGACAAGTCCAAAGTTCCTGGATCAAATGTCAAGCTGGAGGCTTTTCCTGGCTCTTGCAACTGTAGGGGCTGAGGAGCTCAAGGCTGGCAGGCAGTACACTGGCTGTTGACTCCAACAAATGATGAATCCAAGATCTCCAGGCCAAATGGTGAACTGTTCACTCACGGACAGTTGTAGGCAGCACAACAGAATCCCGATCCACAGAAGAATGTCTCTCTTCCCAGGATGTCCTTGGATATACTGGAAGCAGGCCATACCCCTAGGGAAACTCCCCTTCAACAGATTGGCCACTCAGAACATAGTCATCTGATCCCATCATGGGAACAGCCACATGACAACAGCTCAAACCACACAGAATTGTGGTCCAGCCAAGGTGACACACAGCTCCAACTATCACAGGTGCCACAGAGTTGCTTCCAACTCATAGCGGCCCCATGCACAGCAGAATGAAACACCGCCCACCCATGCCAGCTCCATGATCCTTGCTATACTTGAGCCCATTGTCACAGCCACCATGTCAATCCTTCTTGTGGAAGGCCTTCCCCCCTTTTGTCGACCCTCCATCTTACCAAGCATGACATCCTTCTCCAGGGAATGTCCTTCTGACAACATGACCAAAGCAGGTGAGACAAAGTCTGGCCATCCTTGCTTCCAAGGAGCATCTCGGCTGCACTTCTTCCAGGACAGATCTGTTAGTTCTTTTGGCAGTCCATGATACTTTTGCCAGCACCACAACTCAAAAGCATCAACTCTTCTTCAGTCTTCCTTATTCATTGTTCAGCTCTCATATACATACATAGGATCCATTTACTAGGTTAGAAGATTTGGGACCATCTTAACGATCAGGGAACAACTTAACGAACTAGCATAAAACACTTCATAAAAGTAATGTTCTACATCCTAGATTGGTGAGTAGTCTCTAGGATCTTGAAAACTTGCAAATGGCCACCTAAGATACAACTTTGGTCTCTACTTATGTGGAGCAAAAGAGAATGAAGGTGATCAAAAGCTCAAAGAAGAAACTAATCCATAGGACTGACAGCCCACATGAAACACAGCCTTCTCTATCCTGAGAGCAGAACTAGATGGTACCCAGTCAACTGTTCTGACCAGGGACACAATAGAAGGTCCCAGACAGAATGGGAGGAAAATGTAGGACAAAACTTGAATTCCTGAAAATGTCCAGATTTACTGGCCCAATGGAGACTAGAGGAACTCCTGAGACTATCGCCCTGAGATAACCTTTGAACTTGGATTTGAAGCTATTTCTGTAGGTCACCTTTCAACCAAATAATAATTGTATTATAAAATAAGTATCACCCATTAAGTAATATGGTCCTTTAAACAATTAATTTACCCAAAAGCAAAGATGAGAAGGCAAGGAGGGGAAGGGAAGGTAGATAATGGAAGCAGAACAAACAAATGGATATAATGAGAATGCTGACACATTATAAAAATTGTAACCATCGCACAAAACTACTTGAACACAAAGTGTTAATGGATAATCTAATTTTCTGTGTAAACTTTCACCTAAAACATAATAAAATATTACTTTAAAAAAAAAAGAGACAAGCATGGGGAGCAACTTGAACTCATATAGTTCTAGTATGATTGTAAATTAGTACTATCATTTTGTAAAACTGTGTAGTAATTTCTACTAAGCAAAATATTAACCTACACTATGAAGCCTTGAGTTGCAATATTGAAGGATTCTATGGGCAAAATATTAAACAATGCATTAAGCATCAAAAGAAGATGGAAGGAATACACAGAGTGACTGTACCAAAATGAACTGGTTGATGTCCAACTATTTCAGGATCAAGAACCAAAGGTATTGAAGGAAGAAGTCAAAGTTGCACTGAAGGAATTGGCAAAAAATAAGGCTACAGGAATTGACAGAATATGCAGATGTTTCAACAAATGGATGCAGCACTTACTCCTTTAAGCCAAGAAATGTGGAAGACAGCTACCTGACCAACTGACTTGAAGAGATCGATATCTGTGCCCATTCCAAGCAAAGGTGATCTAGCAGAATTGGAAATTATTGAATTATTGAATATCATTAATATCACAGGCAAGTAAAATCTTGCTGAAGATAATTCAAAAATGGTTGCAGTAGTATATTGACAGGGAGCTTTCAGAAATGCAAGTTGGATTCAGAAGATGACTCAGAATGAGGGATATCATTGCTGATGTCAGACAGTTCTTAGCTGAAAGCAAAGAATACCAGAAAGATGTCTACTTGTGTTTTGACTTTGCAAACGCATTCAACTGTATGGATTATCTCATGTACTTTGTACAAGTTATCAGGAAGGATCAGTCCCTGCAGAAGAACATCATGCTTGGTAAAGTAGAGGGTCAGTGGAAAAGAGGAAGAACCTCAAAGAGATGGATTGACAAAGTGGCAGTAACAATGGGCTCAAACACAGCTATGACTGTAAGGATGGTGCAGAACCAGGCAGTGTTTCATTCTGTTGTATATAGGATCACTATAAGTCAGAACTCAAATACACCTAAGAACAACAATAACACAGATACGGGGATATATGTCTGAAAGGGGAAATTCTAGAAGGATATACATCAAAATGTTAAAAAAAAAAAAAAAAGGTAACATTTAATAACATTCTTTCATGTTTATGGGAATTTTTTTAATTTTATTTTACTCTTCTACAATTATTTAAATTATGCAATGAAAATAAAAATCTACAATACTAATGACCAAGCTGCAAATCACAGTCTATCACCTATTTTACTCTAAACACAGCTTCTATTTGTCTCACACATTTTAAAATAAATAATAAGGCAGTTTGTTCATATATTTATATTCAATAAACATTTCTTGAATGTCTTCTGTGCTCTAGCCACTGTCTTGGGTGCTACTTCATAGGTATAATTACTTAAATGATTTTACTTCAGGGTACCTAGATTCTCACTTTCTACTCCTAAGTATGATGCCAAGGGTACCCACTGTCCCCCTCACACTTTGATCACAATGCTTGCATTTGGATTTTAAGTCTCATTTCTAGTTGTTGGTTGCAATTATTGTCGTTTTTGTTAGGTGCCATTGAGTTGGTTTTGCCTCAATATAACCCTATGTACAGCAGAACACAACAATGCTCAGTCTTGGACCACAGTCACAATCATTGCCATGCTTGAGCCCATCGTTGCAGCCACTGTGTCAATCCATCTCATTGAGGATCTTCTCCTGTTTTGCTGACACTCTACTTTACCAAGCATGAGATCCTTCTCCAGGCACTGATCCCTCTGACAACATGACAACATGAATGTGAGATGAGGTCTGTCCATTTTCACTTCTAAGGAGCATTCCAGCCGTACTTCTTCAAATACAGATTTGTTCATTTTTCTAGAAGTCCATGGTACATTCAATATTCTTCGCAAACAGCACAACTCAAATGCATCAATTCTTCTGCAGTCTCCTTATTGACTGCCCAGTTCTCAAATGCATATAAGGAGACTGGAAATACCATGGCTTGGTTAAGATATACCTTAGTCTTCAAAGTGCTTTCTTTGCTCTGGGGTGAAGAGAGCAGCAAAACTCTCATCTTCTTTAATGTGAGGAAAGAACCACATGGCTTTGGTAACATGAATGATAGGAAGACTAAACTCTTTCTGGTTTCATTGAAAACAGTGAGCACTGGCATTGTTTGTTAAGATGGAACTAAAGAATGGTTTTTTAAATAATTGAAAACAATAAAAACATAATTTAGCTGTCTCACCAAAATACTGATTAGAATCTAAAATAAAATTTAATTGAGTAGGGCCATTTACTAGCACGGTGTCTGACACTAATATACTATTGTGCAGCACAACTGTGATCACAGACAAACGTTATTACCAAAGTATTAATTTGATTTATCAGCAACAGTATCCGCTGTTCACGTACGTTGCCCTCATGTAATTTGGTTCTCATCTGCTAACAATTTTTGCTGTTGTTAATGAGCTCCTATTTCTCACACACCGCTGTACTTCCATAAAAACTAAGTAGGGTAGGCTAGCTCTAAGCCATCAATTCAGAGCCCTGAGGCCTAATTGCCAGGCGATGGTCACGAAGCTGTAGTTGCTAGAGTGTAGGAAATACCTCATTTAAAGTGTGTGTCCGCCACCGTCCTGCCTAACACCAACTGCAACATTGGCTGACTGCAGCCGGACAGCGCTTCTCACCACCACCCCCTACCCCGCCCCTTAAACCCTGCACCCAGGCGGAGCCTATGGCAACTGCCTAACTCTCCCTGGAAGGAAGCGCGTCCACCCGGAAGAGCCTTGTGTTGAGAAGCTGGAACAAAGCCCACAGGAAACGTCATCAAGAGCGTTTCTGCAGGGTAGTCTAGACGACCACCCACAGAGCCTGGCAAACTAGACCAGCCAGGGATACCGTGAAAGATGGAGCAAGTTCCAGAAGAGGTTTCGGACAACGACTCTGACACAGCCGGGCCAAATGCTGACCAATCTGACGACCAGGAAGAAGGCAACTGGACAAACCAGGCTGAAGGAGAGGCAGTTTACCAGAATAGTAATGAAATAGCTGACCAGGCTGCTGAAGGACTGTCTTATCAGGATGATCCTGATATATATGGCCAACCTGAAGGAAGAACTCATCAACAGATTCAGGCTGACTCGGACCTTACTGACACTGCTGGCTATAGCGCATCTGGTAAGGTTAGCCAAACAATGTCTGGCTTCAACATATCTAGCCAAATTGATAATGTACAGTATGAGCATGATCTCAAGATGTCTGGCCAGGCTGACCAAATAACTTCTGAACAGACTGATCACAGATTGTCCAATGAAGCTCATCAAAGACCTTACGAAAAAACTGATCACATATTCTCTGCTGCGCCTGCCAAAAGAAGTTCTGAGAAGACTGACACCAGATTGTCTACTACTGTGTCTGATGGAAGAACTTCTGAAAAGATTGACCACAGATTGTCTGGTCCAGCTGACCAAAGAACTTCTGGACAGATTGACCGTAGAGTATCTGGTCCAGCTGACCGAAAAACTTCTGGACAGATTGACCATAGATTGACTGGTCTAGCTGACCAAAGAATTTCTTTACAGACTGACCACAGATTATCCAGCCGGACTGATCAAAGAATTTCTGAACAGGTGGACCACATATTGTCTCACCCTGTGGACCAAAGAATATCTGTACAGAATCACCAAGCCACTGAACCAGCTCAACATGAGGATGACTATGATGAATCTGACCATATTGAGAGTATATTAGATTACCAAGCTAACCGCTTAGTGCACAAACAGGAGAACCACACTGAAGACTATCTGACTGATTATGGAGCACCTAGCCAGTATGACTACAGAATGTTTACCCAGGTTGAGGATAGAAAGAAGGATGAAGAGGATGACTACAGAGTACAACCCTGCAAATTTGAGGATAGCCAAAAAGACCTCAATAATTTCGGTTTTTTAATTGCAGTAGGAGCTGAAACTCAAACTTCAACCTTTCTTCAAAACTACAAGCCATTTGATACCAGATTAACCAGTGATTTCCAAACAAAAGACCAAGACCTTTCCCAAATATTTCCCTCTGTCCCACCTAAATTGGACTATACCCTTGGTGAAGAAACCAAGCCTGTAGGTTAAAGGGGATTTTTTTTTTTTTTTTTTTTTAACATATCTGGGAGGTTGGAGACCAAGCAGGGCGGCAAGAAAGAGAGTAGGGGAACATGTTGGATCAACGAATAAGCCCTCATGTTGAAGGATAGTAGGAGGATGGGAAATAAAGAGTTGCTTTTGCCTTCTCTACTACTGTAACCCCATTCTGGAAGGATTAATGACCCAGAATTCAGACCTGGATTTAAAATCCTTACTCCTGCCAACTCTGTAACATTGAATCATGCTCCTTTTCTGGCTTCTCTAAAAGAAAGAAATTTGAAGTAGATTGAAAACCTCTATGAAGGGAATGGGTTTTGAGTAGACTAGATTCCTAAGGTACCACCCAGGACTTGAGGTGTTTTCTATTGCCTAGAGTATCAGCTGAGTCTCTCATAAACAATGTCTTTTCTCCAGCTCCTAGTATATATTCAGATCCCATCAATACCAGATTCCACTGATAATAACAACAAAAATTCCTGGGTCTTTGCAATTTATTAAAGGCTCTTTGGGGTGATATTTCAATTTCAGGATTATGTTTCACAATTTGAGCAAGAAAAGAGTTTTTATGAACACAAGCAAACTTATAAGAAGTTTCCCTCTATAGTGTATGAAGATCCTTATCAACTTGCACTCCAATATATGGAAAAGCACAGTATTCTGCAAATATTCCAGGTACACTTCTCAATCCCTCCATTTAATTGTGAATTTTACAATAATTATAATTTAAAAGACAAACTTTGACCTGTCTCTCAAGAAACACAAGAAATGATCTTTGCTATAAAAGGGATATAATGTAGTTGACCAGTCACTAAATATACTAAGATGTATTAGCCAAAGGTAAATGATGAACACCAAATGAATGATAGTGTGATATTAAACCTTTTGGAGGGATTAGAGATCAGGTAGCTTTCTTGGTAGGGAAAAAGTTGGACAAATGTTAAAGTTTGAGCCATACTGGAAGGAATGACAAAATGTTGGCAATTAAAAAAGAGAAAAGAGGCTTTCCAGGGAGGGATATAATACCTACAGTAGAATGACCATATTATGACTATTTAAGAAGCCACCCTCATTAAGAGAGAAAGAAGTTAAAACTTACCTAAAACCAAACCAAACTCACTGCTGTCAAGTCCGATCCGACTCATGGCAACCCCTCCTTGGGTTTCTGAGGCAGTATCACTAAGGAAGTAGATTGCCCAATCTTCTTTCTGAGGAGTGGCTGGAGGGTTTGAACCACCAGCCTTCTGGTTAATAGTCAAATGCCTTAGGTGCTATGCCACCAGAGCTCCTAAAACTTACTTATAACTTTTGAAATCACAAATCTCATTGACCTCAAGATGTGGTGCTGGAAACGTCTTTGAAGTTTAACATTCCATGGCCTCTATGGAATTACAAGACTGGATTATCACGTGTGTGGCCGGTTACATGTGTGTGCACCTAGTGGAATGTTTTTGCTTTTGTTTGCCTGATGTTTTTATGTTAATGTTATTGCAAAGCAATCAATGTATTGATATAGTAACATATGAATATGAAGTAGCTTTTTGGTTGATGTTGTTGTTTAGATGCCATCGAGTCAGTTCTGACTGATTGTGACCCTTTGTAAAACAGAATGCAACACCACCCAGTCTTGTACCATCTTCACAACCATTGCTATGTCTGAGTCTATTATAACCACTATGTTGATCCAGCTCATTAAGGATCTTCCTCTTTTTCACTTACTCTCTACTTTTCCAAGCATGATGTCCTTCTCCAGGGACTGGTTCCTCCTTTTGACATGTCCAAAGTATGTGAGACCAAGTCTCACCATTCTTGGTAGTATTTCTTCCAAGACAGATTTGCTCATTCTTCTGGGGGCAGTTCATAGTACATTTGGTAATTCTTCATCAACACCATAATTCAATGGCATAAATTCTTCTTCAGGCTTCCTAACTCATTGTTCAGATTTCACATGCATATGAGGTGACTGAAAATATGATGGTTTGTGTCAGATGCAACTTAATTCTAAGAAACATCTTTACTTTTTAACACTTTAAAGAGGTCTTTGCAGCAGTTTTGCCCAATGCAATAAATCATTTGATTTCTTGACTGCTGCTTTCATGGGCATTGATTATGGATCCAATAAAATGAAATCATTGACAACTTCAGAACTATTTCCACTTATTATAATGTTGTATATCAGCTCAGCTGTGAAAATTTTTGTTGTATGTTGAGGTGTAATCCATACTGAAGGCTATACAATCTTTGACCTTCATAAGTAAGTGCTTCAAGTCCTCTTTGTTTTCAGCAAGCAAGTTTGTGTCATCTGCATATCACAGGTTGTTAATGTGTTTTCCTCTGATCCTATTATCATTAATAACACAAAAAAGTAAAATTCTGCTGAAAATAATTCAAAAAAGTTGCAGCAATTCATGGAAATGGAACTGCCAGAAATTCAAGCCAGTTTCAGAAGAGGATGTGGAATGAGGAATATCATTGCTGATATAAGATGAATCTTGGCCAAAAGCAAAGAATACCCGAAAGAAGTTTACCTGGTTTTATTTTGTTTTGTTTTGTTGACTATGTAAAAGCATTTGACTCTGTAGATCATAATAAATTGTGGATAACATTGCAAAGAATGGGAATTACAGAATAGTTCATTGTCCTCATGAGAAACCTGCCCATACACCAAGGGGCAGTCATTCAAACAGAATGAAGGGATATGGCATGTTTTAAAATCAGAAAAGTGTGTATCAGGGTTGTATCTTTTCACTATGCTTATCCAGTCTGTGTGCTGAACAACTAAGCTGAGGAGCTGGACTGTATAAAGAGGAATGTAGCATCAGGATTGGAGGAAGACTCACCAACAACCTGTATAATATGCAGATGACACAACCTTGCCTGCTGAAGGGGAAGATGACTTGAAGTACTTACTGTTGAAAAATCAAAGACTACAGCCTTCAATGTGGATTACATCTCAACATAGAGAAAACAAAAGCCCTCACAAAAGGACCAATAAGCAATATCATGATAAATGGAGAAAAGATGGAACTTGCCAAGGATTTAATTTTACTTGGATACACAATCAACAGCCATGGAAGCAGCATTCAAGAAATCAAATGAAATATTACACAGGGCAAATGTACTGCAAAAAAACCTCTATAGAGTGTTAAAGAAGAAAGATGTCACTTTGAAGATTAAGGTGAACTGACCCAAACCATGGTATTTTCAATAGCTTCATATGCATGTGAAAGCTGGACAACGAATAAGGAAGACTGCAGAAGAATTGATGCATTTGAATTGTGGGGTTGGCAAAGAATTCTGAAAATACCTTGGACTGCCAGAAGAAAGAACATATCTGTCTTGAAAGTACAGCCAGAATGCTCCTTAGAAACAAGAATAGCCAGACTTTGTCTCACATACTTGGTCATGTTATCAGGAGGGATCAGTCCCTGGAGAAGGATTTCATGCTTGGTAATGTAAGAGGGTCAGGGAAAAAGGGAAGTTGACATTGCAGTGATGGGCTGAAGCATATCAATGATTGTGAGGATGTCCCAGGACCAGATAGTGTTTTGTTCTGTTGTACATACGGTCACTATTAGTTGGAACCAACTCAATGTCACCTAACAACAATAATCCTGATGCCTTGTTCTTCTTCATATAAGCTACTTTCCTGGATTATTTGCTCAGAATACAGATTAATTGTGAAAGACTATAACTCTGATGCATGCCATTCCTTATTTTAAACCACACAGTGTCCTCTTGTTCTGTTTGAACTACTACGTCTTGGTCTGTATACAGGTTCCTCATCAGCAAAATTGGAATTCCCATTCTTTGCTATGTTATCCTTAATTTGTTATGATCCATACAGAAGAATACATTTGCATAATCAGTAAAACATGTAAACATCTTTCTGTATTCTTTGCTTTCAGCCAAGATCCATCTGATATCAGCAGTCATATCACTCATTCCACGTTCTCTTCTGAATCAAGCTTGAATTTCTGGCTATTCCCTGTTGATGTCCTGCAATCATTTTTGAATTATATTCAGCAAAATTTTACTTGCATGTGATATTAATGATATTGTTGGATACTGTCAGCATTCTGTTGGATCTTTTTTCTTTGAAATCAGCACAAATAATGATCTCTTCCACTTGGTTGGCCAGGTAAATGTCTTCTAACTATCTTGGGATAGTTGAACAAGCACTTCCAGCATTGCATCTATTTGTTGAAACATCTCAGTTGGTATTCTGTCAATTCCCAAATTCTTGTTTTTTGCCAATGCGCCCATGCATCTTCCTTCATTACCATCAGTTCTTGATCATATGCTACCTCCTGAAATGGTTGAATGTCAATCAACTCCTTTTATACAGTGAGTCCGTTAATTCCTTCTATCTTCTTTTGATGTCTTCTGCATAAGTCAATATTTTGCCCATAGAATCATTCAATATTGAAACTCAAGGCTTGAGTTCTTCCATCAGTTCTTTAAGCTTGAGAAATGCTAACTGTGTTCTTCCCTTTTGGTTTTGAAACTCCAGGTCTTTGCATATTTCATTATAATACTTTACTTTATCTTCTCAAGCCACCCTTTGAAATCTTATATTCATTTCTTTTACTTCATCATTTCTTCCATTTGCTTTAGCTACTCTTCATTCAGGAGCAAGTTTCAGAGTCTCTTCTGACATTCATTTTGGTCTTTTCTTTCTTTCATGTCTTTTTTGTGACCTTTTACTTTCTACGTGTATTACCCTAGATGTCATCTCTCAGCTCATCAGGTCTTTGGTTATTACTGTTGAATGCATCAAATCTATTCTTGAGATTGTCTCTAAATTCAGGTGAGATATACTTTGGTTTGTGGATTTGTTTTATTTTTCTTCACCTTTAACTTGAACTTAGATAAGAACAGTTGGTGGTCTATTCCACAGTCAGCCTTTGGCTTTGTTCTTGAGCTTCTCCATTGTCTCTTTCCGCAGATCTAGTTGCTTTGACTACTGTCTCTTTAATGACCTGTTGCTTTCCACTCAGTGAGGTCCATATGTATAGTCACCATTTATGTTCTTGAAAAAAAGATATTTGCAATGAATAAGTCATTGATTTTGCTGAATTCTAGTATGAGGTTTCCAGCGTCATTTGCATCAACAAGGCCATATTTCCCAACTACCAATACTTCTTTGTTTCTAACTTTCACATTCCAATCATGAGTAAGCATCAACGCATCTTGATTGGGTGTTTTATCAATTTCAGACTGCAGAAGTTGGTAAAAAAAAAAAAAAAAACTTCCAATTTCTTCATCTTTAGCATTAGTGGTTGGTGCATAAATTTGAGTAATAGTCTATTAACTGGTCTTCCTTATAGGTGTATGTATATTATTCTATCACTAATAGGATTGTAGGGATCTCTGGTAGCATAGTGCCTAAGGCACTTGACTGCTAACCAGAAGGCTGGCGGTTCAAACCCACCAGCCACTCCTCGGAAGGAAGATGGGGCAATCTACTTCCGTAGTGATACTGCTTCGGAAACCCAAGGAGGGGTCGCTATGAGTCGGGCCAACTCGACGGCACATAACAACAACAACAACAATAGGATTGTACTCCAGGATAGATCTTGAAATGTTCTTAAATGATGAATGCAATGCCATTCCTCTTCAATATTCCTGGCATATTATACCATATGATTTTCTGATTCAAAATGGTATTCTGTGGTTGGAAAGGTGTAAAATAATAATACCCACCTCAGATGAAAATACTGAAGCTGGAAATGTTTGAAGAAGAGATCAACTTTTGTAATTTGGTAGCCCAAGCAAGACTCAAATCCCAGCTTTGCCACTTATTATCCTTGTGATTTGGGGAAAATTACTAAACTTGTGCAACACTCAATTTCCTCATGTAAAATGATGATAAGTGATACCTACTTCATTACTCTGCTCTATACCTTTTCTTTCCTGAAATATTTCTTTGTTGGAAGAGTAGTAATGGCTAGATTTCCTTACTTTAATCAAACAACTACAAATTATTAAACTCATGGATGAAAGCTATGGAAGAAAGTAGAGTTATTCTATAAATAATTTTCTTCTATTTCAAGAAAAAACAATGCTTATTCATGCAACATTGATATAAGAAACATTTATTTTCATATACGTGTTCAGTAGAAATATATAAAACACATAATGAAAGGCATGGGTGCATTAAACAGATGTGAACACTTTGTATCTGAAATTTGCTGTATTGTTATTCCCTACAAATGAGTCTTGTGCATACTTCATTATAATTTTCAGGTTATTCAATAGCCACAAAAAGCATAGAAGTGAACCTCTGATCAATACTTTCTCATTCATTCTTACACTGAACATTATTTTCACCTTTTAGAACCAAATACTTCAGAAGAAAGGTTCTACGTAAAATAATATGGTATTTTTTACTTTAAAGACTCTTCTTTGACAATTCTTCAAAGCAAATAATTTTTTAATTTCTGTGTCTAACAAGATCACCATTCTCAAAACAAAGACTTCCTTCAAACGTATTCTCTTCCTAGCTCTTTGGTTTTTTTAAAATTATTTTTAGCTTCCTTTCTCCACCCACCCCTGCTAAATCTCTGTGTTGTTTAAGGTTACGTGTCAACTTGGCAGGACCATAATTTTGAGTGGCTTGGCAGCTGTGATGTAGTTATTCCCCATAATGAGACTGGATGTGGTGTAATCACCTCCATGGTGGAATCTGCTGTGAACAGTTAATCAGTTGAAAGGGAGTTGCTTGAATTCAGGGTATGGCCTGCTTCTGGCATATATATAGAAAAGATCCTGCATTTGGTTCTCAATGCATCATCTCCAGTTCCTGGACTTGAACAAGTGGCCTTCTGTGTTGCCTGTCAATCTTGGGGTTGTTGCCTTCAGAGCCTGAAAACCAACAACTTGCCATTTTATATGCTGACCTTGGATTAGTTAGCCTTAGCAACCAGCAGTTGCTGAGTCAGGAAAAGCCTCCACCTTGATCCAGTGAGCCTGGAAGGCCCAAGGTTGAGGGCCCACCACCCAGGCCCTAGAGCCAGCACTCTGAATTTGGATTTCTAGCCTACCAGCTGTGAGAATAAATTTATCTTTGTTAAAGCCATCTACTTGTGGTATTTAGGTTATATCAACACTAGAGAGCTAAGACACCATCAAAGAATATATCTTTTTGTGTGTGAAACCCTTTTCTTGACTTTTATAATAGTGATCTCATACAATATTTATCGTTTTGTGATTGACTAACTTCACTCAGCATAATGGGCTCTAAGTTCATCCATGTTATAAGATGTTCCAGAGATTTATCACTGCTCTTTAACATTGTGTAGTATTCCACTGTGTGTATGTACCATAGTTTATTGATCCATTCCTCTGTTGATGGGCATTTCGGTTGTTTCCATCTTTTTGCTATTGCAAATAGTGCTATGATGAACATGGTCGTGCATATATCTGTTCTTATCATTGTTCTTTCCCTAGGATACATACCTAGTAAAGAGATTGTTGAATCATATTATATTTCTATTTCTAGCTTTTAAAGGAAGCACCATATCATTTTCCACAGTGGTTGCACCATTTTACAGTCTGACCAGCAGTGTATGAGGGGTCCAGTCTCTCCACAACCTTGTTAGAGTTTGTTGTTTTCATAGCTCTTTGATCTTGAAAACCAGTTATACACACACACACACACACACACACACACATATATATACAGTGATTCATTACTAAGTATTGTATTCCTCTAAATTTACCTTAATTTGCCTAATTTCATCAGTAGTAAGAAAGTAAGTTGTTACTTTTTAGAAATATATGAATTTCTTCAAAATGCTATGGTACATTTTAGGTTAGTGCATAAGATCACATCAGATATAACCTGACCACATAACTTTTGCTCAGAACTATAATGCAGTGCCTTCTGTTCTTTCTCAGCAGATCACTGAAGACTTAGTCTGTGAAAAGCCAGAAGACCCCCTGCATTTTATGCTGTGCCAGGTAAGAATAGGAGAAAAAGAACAACTTTTTCCCTCTTTTTATAGTAAAACATAGCACATATTGCAGGAAAGTAAACAAATCAAAACATGTACAACTCAGTGAATTATTGTGAAGTGAACATACCTGTAACTACCATTCAACTTTACTAAACTCAGCTTACTAACTCTGATCATTTATTTGTAGATTCCTTGAATGTTTCTACACATACCATTTTATCATTGCAAATTGACAGTTTTGCTTTGTTTTGACTTTTCCAATCTTTGTCCTTTCTTTTCTTTTCTTACTGCATTATGTTATATATAATATATGTAATATAACATAATAAATATATATAACATATGTATAATATGGGAGCTCTAGTAATATAGTGCCTAAGGCGCTTGACTGCTAACCAGAAGGCTGGTGGTTCAA